TGTCTGTCTGACTGTCTTTCTGTCTGTCTGATGGTCTGAAAATCTGATTTGTCTGTCTGACTGTCTGTCTGTCTGTCTGTCTGATGGTCTGAAAATCTGATTTGTCTGTCTGACTGTCTGTCTGTCTGACTGTCTGATGGTCTGAAAATCTGATTTGTCTGTCCAATAATCTATCTCTCTGTATTCTCATATGTTGGTATATTTCTCTGGCAGTCCATCTTTCTATTTCTCTATCTGTCTGTCTGTCCATGGGTCTAAATTTCTGCCCATATGTCTGACTGCTTGTCTCTCTGTCTGTCTGTGCAGGTATAGAGTGGTCAGACACTCACAGAAAGTCTGCCGTCCACTACCCCTGGCATGCTTCTAAATATTTGAAGGAGCGAACAGAGCAACTCAGTGATGTCATGAATGAAATTGATCCACATATGCCGGTAAGTAAGGTAGAGTTATTCCTGTGAAGGTGAAAAGCTAATAGTACTGGCACACTGCTATATTATTATGTGGTATTGTAATATTCCTATGCTTTCACTGCATGAGAAGTGATGACGTATGCTGTGAATGGTTCAAAGAATRAGTGAGAAAAGCTTTTCTATTATATTCATTCATTGTTGTTCTCAGTACATGGATGACTTAGAGATCATAGGGTCTAGTAACCCTCCTCATATGTCCAAACATACAATGTCTACGGTGCCAGAAGAAGATGAACCAGAACTTGATGAACGATCACCTGAAATAAGGTATTGCGATGGGAAGGAAGATAAGAAAAGGGATTGGTGAATGGGATAGATGGATGGGAAAGAAATAAATGGGGCCAAACAAAAACATTAGTGTGTTTCCTGTTGCATGAGAAAAATAATTGGGGTCGGTAGGTGAAATTTTTTACTGATACTACAGTGAAAATGAGCTTAAAAATGGAAATGGTGCATTTGGGTATGAAAAAAATATTAGGGTCGACAAAGATTGGCAAGAAAATTAGGGTCGGTTGTGCAACAGGAAACACACTTATTTTTTTGTTTGGCCTGGATGGGAAAAATGATAGACAAATAAAAAAACAGGATGGAGGAATGAGATAAAGGATGAACAAATGGGAAATAGAATGGACATGAAAAGGGAATAAGTTAGAAAGAGTAGGAGTAAATGAAATAGAAGATAGATATAGACCTTTAACCAATCTTCAAATGTTTTCATTAATTGCTACAGAGATCCCCTCGGCAGCTTTGCTGATATTATTCCACAACCTACCATAGGGCCATCCCTGACCATTAATGGCCAAACAGCACATTGGAGTGGATCTAGTACAAGTGGACTTGGTCGAGTGGGTGTGACGTCTCGTGTTTCTTTTGAAGCCCATACAAAGGAGAGAGCTGTTTCCTTGTTGAACATCTGTAATGATGGAACCACTGTTATATATTACTCTTGGAAGGTATGTTGGCTGACAGACTGAAATTTTTTACGATTTAAGTTGGAAAATTAAGAATGTTGTAATGGTAGTAAACTTGCCTTTAACCTCTGGGGTCTTGAGTTCAATTCCTGGACTCTGCATGATATATCACAGTCATCTGGAAGAGTTTTTTAAAGAATCTCTTCCTTGATTCAAGGGTTTTTCTCTAAGTTCTTCAGTTTTCCCCCCTCCGCAAAACTTGACCATAACATAACTAGCTGAATTCCTAACTAGCTATGCCCTGACTTAGTTCAGCCCAGAGGTTGTTTCAGGGTTCTATCTGTGAGTTAGCC